AATCTCCAAGTTGCTCAAGGAAGTCCAAGAATTGGTTAGACAAGCTCTCTCCTAAGGAAGTCTACCCCAAATTAGGGTTTTGTGTTGCATCAAGATCCTTGAGTCCAAATGATCTCAAGTTCTCCCCAATGTCCTAATATGTTCTCAAGATCATCCATGTCAAATTTCAAGCCTTGCAGAGGAAGTTTGCTCAGTCAATTGCTCAAAGGTCCAAAAATCAACTTTGCTAGGGCAAAAGTCAACTGTGACCTACATATAGTCAAACTTCAAGATTTTTTGTCAACATTCTCATTTTGAAGTTTATTTCATCATTTTATCAAGAGTTGATCATGATTCATCAAGGATTGCTCACAATTCATCAAGATTCAAAAGTTGCTAAATTAGGGTTTTGTAGGAAAAGTCAACTCAACTTTGACCAAGCATAACTTTCTCATACTTTATGAGAAATGACCCATCCAAAGCTCATTTTGAATAGGATGAAATTCCATACAACCCATCTTCATACCCCAAGTTCAAAAAATGCACTCACAAGAAGTTATGAATTTTGACATTATAGGTCATTTTTGAAAGTCAACAAAAAGACTTTTTTGTCAAAGCTTCTAACATGAGCATGGAATATCAAAATGAGATGATACCAAAATGTCTGATTAGAGGGCATCTCAAGCTTTCTAGAAAGTCCAAGAACACATCCAAAAGTTCAAAATTGAAGACGTTATGCATTGTTGAAGTTGGATTTTTTTGCAAATTTGCCAAAAGTCAACTATCCCCAAAACTTCAAAATTTTCCAAAAGGGACCATTCTTTTTCACTTGATTTGAGTTTTCATTATTTCCCAAGTGCTCTAGCTTTGACCATCTGTCCATATCTTATTTTTATTATTTTATTTTATTTTTATTTGAATTAATTCATTTTAAATCAAATAAAATCACATAAAATCAAAAACATTGAAAACTAAAGATCTTGTGATCATTTCAGGTTTCAATAGACAGCTTTCATCCTTCCAAACTCGTATCAAGCCATGTGGGTACAAAAAGATGTGATTTGGATCAAATTTGGAAAGTTTTAATGGAAGAATCAAATCAAATTCAAGAGCATTGATAGAGCAAGATTTGAACAACAACTGCTACCCTAATGTATTGTACGTTAGATAAGCAAGCGAAACACACAAGAATCAGGGTTGGAAATCAATTGTGGAGGCAGAACGAGACTTGCAAAAATCACAAAAAAGTGGGAGATCGAAATCAGGTCTAGAGGCATTTTCAGGGCTTGATATTGGTTTCAATCGATTCCTGGCCATCTCCAGAAGCTAAACCAATCACAACCACGCTTTTTCCAGCCTCCCAGATCTCTCAATTTTCATTTTCTTATTTGCTTTCAGGTAATCCCATATGCGTCTAGGCCAGGAGTCCCACCATGTTCATCCTTCATCCATATGCCAGATGGCCAGATGGCCAGATCTGGTGGTCAGCATCGGGGGTACACCATAAGGCTAGCCCACACGTGTACAGGATCAGAAAAAGTCCAAACGGATCAGCAAATGGGCCAACAAAAAATTTCTTCCTGCACCCTCCAAAAAAGGCCCAATTTCTCATTCTCTTTATATTTTATTTATTTAACTTATTTACTTTATTTTTATTTTAATTACTAACCAATAACAAATTTTTTTTTATCAAAAATCACCAAAAAACATTTTTTCTCCAAATAAAAATTCAGAACTTTATTTTTTCTTTAATAAATTTTAATTAATTAATTAGGTTTTTAATTCTAGAATAACCTTAATTTATTTTTGTAAATAAATAAAATCAATTAGAAATCATTAGGTTTTAATTCATTTAATTATTTTAATTTCTTTCTTAAAATATCAAAAACTCCAAAAAATATATCATTAATTATTTTTCATTAATTAATTAATTTAATAATTAATTTAGTATTTAATTTAGGATTTAAATTCTTTTCTTAAAATAAAAACAAAAAAAAGCATTTTCTTTTAAAAGGGTCAAAATCCTAATTCGCATTCGACATAATTTCGCGTCGCGCTTTATTTATTTTTATTCATATTGATGTATCTGCTTCCGGTATGTAATAGATAATTAGGACCTTTTATTTATTTTACCGCTTTATTTTATTTTCAAAGGGTTGCTTTTGGCGATGTAAATACCCGACGCCTTGTAATTTAATTTTCGCACTTTAATTTCTGCTAATTATAATTGTTAGATGTTTGATAATAGGGTTTACATGACAAGACTGAATGCTTAATCTTAAAATCAAATTAGACCACCCTTAACACGTGCAAAGATAAAGATAATTGAAAATGACACACTCGCACATGCACACTCTTAGGGTACACCCCACTTGGTTGCCTTCATACACGGTCATTGAGTATGGGTCGTTTTAGAGGTCGTCCTCTTGTCTAAAAGATCATAGTCGCCTCGAAATGGTTGCCTCAGATATTGTTGCCTCAAACAAATGATCTAAGACATTAGGGTTACCGCTAAGGTGTCCTAACATTGCTTTAGTGATCGTATATCCCGCATTCGAATTGACCCTCAAACTCCAACGACACTGCTACCTACTCATTAATAGTGGGATATCATTGTCTATAGAAAATTAGCATAGAACGATTCCTTTTTCGAGTAGGTAGATAGTTCTTAGATACTTGCTCATCCAAAACAAAATAAATTTTTCGCACTTACACTCATTTTCAAACAAAGTTTTCAAAAACACTTCATTACACTCTTGAGAACAGAAGCAAGAGTTAAATCGAAGTTTCAAACAAAAACTTTTCCAAAATCCACAAGCACAAAGAAAACAATTTTGAAAATAATGAGCAAGTACCTAAGAGCCCGTAGATAACTACGGATAGAAAGGGTGCTAATACCTTCCCTTTCTATAATCTACCCCCCGAACCTGAGAAATATCTCGAAAAAGGAAATTTTTTATGCTTTTTTCCTTTCCTTGTTGGATAAAATAAAAGTCGGTGGCGACTCTTGCTTACCGCGACATTTTGCGAACACAAACACAAAACGCAAACCAGCATTCCAAAAAACAGTCAGTTCTTCCCACCGTATCACAATGTGAAAAAAAAGTTTGTTCTCAAATAAAAGCAATTGTTAATTAAAATAAAATTGGTATTTTTCTTGTAGTGACCCGTGAGAAAATGAGAAATTTTGTCATTTGAAATTAAAAATTTTGTGTCTCAAAAAAAGACAATTGCTAATTAAATTAAAATAATAATTTGTGATAGTGACATGAGAGAAATTAATAAATTTTGATATTTAAAAAATTAGAATTTTATACCTCAATTAATAAAAATAATTAATTAAAATAAAATAGGTATTTTTTTAATAGTGACATTTGAGATGAAAAATTAGTTGTATGTATGATTATTAATTATTATCCAATTTCAAAAAAATAAACTCCTAATTTGATTATACCTTTAGAATAGATTAATTAATCATTTTAATTATAATAAATAAATGTTATTGTTTAAATTTGTATTAAAAACAAAATTAAATATCTACATTGTATATATTTATAGCATTTGGACGCATGTTTTAGTAATTGATATATAATTAATTCCAAGGGAAAGGGTTGAAAATTATCAAAGAAAATAGTTAAATTTGTAACTCTTTTAATCCAATTTATAATTTTCAAAAATGTTTATTCGATAGGATGTTATTGAGTTTGTGCAAGTGTAATTCTTCAAATATTATAATATATATATATATATATATATATATATATATATATATATATATATATATATATATATATATATATATATATATATATATATATATATATATATATATATATATATATATATATATATAAATTCAAAATTTTTACTTTTCGTTCAAGTTTATTATTAAGCACTAAGAATCTAATTTCTATAAAGACGCACATATCATACATTTATTTCTAAATGTATTTTATTAACCTATCTAGAAAAGCTACCTTACTAAATAACTTTTTTTTAATAAAAATTAAGTAAATGATGCATTGTACGGGTTTCACATAATTTATTTTAGTTTTTTAGTTTTTTTCTAATTTAGTAGTCGTATATATTTTAAAATATTAGAATATTATGATTAATTTTAATTCACATTTAAAATGATAATGTTATTTAAGAATTTATCTTACAATTATATTATATTTAGGTTGTTACGGATCGAGCAACATAATTATTATTTTTAGCTACGTATAAAAAATAAATGTTGTGTTTTCTAATTTTTAGAAAAAATACAATTATTTTGATGTTCAATATTTAATTGTATGATATTTAAACAAAATATTATATATTACTTATGATTGTAATCAAACATATGTATAAAGATAAATTAAAAATTATGAACAACAATTAACAAATAACAACTTAGATCTATTGTTTTTTTGTTAAAGGTAAAATTATCTAAATATCTCATATTTTTAATTGATAATATATCACATTAAAATACTAAAATAAGATAAGATTAAGATTAAGATAAGGATAAGATTTATTTTTTTCTTCAACATTTCCTTTTTTGACTTAATTCTTCTTTTTTTATTTATCTTTTATGACTTAATGTTATCTTGTTTGACTATAAAAAGAAATAGTAATAAAAAACAATGACTTAGCATTAGTTTTAATTGTAAAAAAATTGTAGTTCATGAATATTTTGTTTATATATATATATATATATATATATATATATATATATATATATATATATATATATATATATATATATATATATATATATATATATATATATATATATATATATATATATATATATATATATATATATATATATATATATATATATATATATATATATATATATATATATATATATATATATATATATATATATATATATATATATATATATATATATATATATATATATATATATATATATATATATATATATATATATATATCTGTCTTCATTGTTGACATTGCCCAACATTTTAAGAGTGTCATTTGAAAATATAATTTTTTAGCAAAATATCATCATGAAGCTAGGTTGCATTCTTGTATTTGTATGTACTTTTTCCACCTTCCTCAGCCTCACGCTCGGATCAGGTATATATATTACTATTATTATCAGAATTTTCATAAGTCTTATTATCCTTCATTCATACATAAATATTTCAACATGAGAGAGTATAAAATGAATATTGTTGATTTTATAAATTTTGATGTTTATTAAATTGTTTATGTAGCAAGCACAGAAGTGAATCTATCATTTTGTCCGCGTCACTTGGACTTGCCAGGGAAATGTAGCACTTCTCGGAGTTGCGGTCTAGATATGAATGCTGCATTAGGGGCAAGCGCCATGGTTCAAGACTGTATTTGTGAAGATCTTGCCAACAATATGCACCGTTGCACATGTTGCTGCAAATGTCAAATTGTGAAGGATAGAAAGACTCTTTTTCTTGCAAGCATTTTTGTCGATGGTCAACTAAATTGTAATAAAGTCTAAACATTAATGTTATAATCAATAATTACATCACATTCCAATGTATTAGTTTTTATGTTTTTGGCCTTTACTTTGAATTTTTATTTTCAATATATTTCAAAATATATTTCTTTGGGCAAACATAATTACGAGTTTTATAGAATTTTTAATTCGTTACTCCTAAAATTGAACATGACACCTCTCAATAATAAATTTTCGCATTTATTTAAATTTCAAAAAAATATCATAATTTTTTGAAATATTTAGAAAAAATTATCGAATTTTTTGAAGTTCACATTCGAGAAAGAAAATTTACACTATCGAAATTTTTGAAAATTTTGAAAAATTACAAAACATTTTGAAATATCTGATAAACTAGAATTTTTTTTTTGAATAATCAAGTATTAAAAAAAAATCGTAAATAACCGCGTTTCAGAAAAAATTACGCAAATAACCATGTTTCAGATGACTCCCCAAAGGAGGAACCATCTCACTTGGCGCCTACTCCCATTTTTTAAGGGGAGGCGCCATCTCACTTGGCGCCTATGTGCTTAGGGCATGCCCTAAGCCAAGTGAGATGGCGCCTAGGTGTATTTTTAGGGCAAAATTTGATTTTTTTTTTGTCCAGTGCGTTGCGTATTGGATACAAGATCAATAAAATGGACTTTTTATTTAAAAAAAATTACATCCAACAGTATTACATTAAAAAAACAGATAAAAAAAACAGATAAAAAATACAGGAAAATAAAAACAGATAAATCAGTGATCCCCCGAAACTCGATAATGACCCCCGGTTCCGCATCCCCGTCCTCGCCTTTCCCGTGCTGGGTGTCGTCGCGTTTCCTGTTGCGGCAGGGTCGATGGCCCAGCGAAGTCAATGCGGTCCGAATCCATAAAATCAGTCAGATATCCATATATAGAAGATCCACTTTGGTACAGTCGGTTACCCATACCCTCAAAGTTTGGTCGTGTTGGTGGTGGGTGGGGTTCCATGGTGGGTCTGTAGCATTGATCGTCTGAGTACGGTGGGTAGAAAGGAATTGGATCTTGGGGTGTTTGGTATTGAGGATGTTGGATGGTTTGGTGATATTGTGGTTGATGGTAGGCTGGGTCGGTTTGTTCATAATCTTCAGGCATTCCCATATCAGGGCTAAGGCTGGATGTTGAGGGGCCCATATTGGGATATACGGAAGACTGAAATTGTGTGTGGGGTATGCGGGTGTGTTGGTGTTGTGATTGGTATTGAGGTTGGGTGTGAGGCATATCGGGGTATTAGTAGGGAGGTGGTGATTGTGGTTGGTTGTGGGGCATTTGAGTGTAATTGTGTTGTGGTGGGGACTGTGGTTGAGTGTTTGTGGTTCTGTTTCTTCTTGGGGGTTGGTGGGAGGTTGATGGGTTTTGGGTTTGTTGTTGGGGAAACGAGGGTTGTGCCCATTGTGTGCGTGGGTCAACCAGGTACCTTGGATGAGACACGCGCATTTCAGGATTACTAACCAACCTGTACCAAGATAAATATTGATCCGTGTGTCGCATATTACCATGATTAAGGAAAACCGGGAATTGCAAGACATAGCGGTGACGCCTCTGCCACATCTTACACCATTCCGGAGCGAAGTATTTCCAGTTGGTAAGACCCCACTGGGCATCGACCCTTTTAAGATGCCATGGGGACAAACAAGTTGGATCACTTGGTATCTCTTGATGCATTCCGAATTGCATCTTCACACGGTCGTTGTGGTGCATCTCCACAATGCTGAACCGAATGATTGCAGTCTTCGCGGTCCAAATTGCTGCATCCTCCGGATTTGGATCATGGCCCAAACCCAAATATGGTCTCCAGACGAACTGCGATAAAATTTAAATCAGGTTAACGAAAACATAATGTATAAATAATTTAAATGAAGAAAAGTTTAAAGCTGCGACGTACATCATCCGGGCCTAAGTGATCCAACAGATTACGGTATAGTGCGACATTGAATCTTGGATTCTTGCCGTAATCCATACCCCTCACGTAATACCTAAAGGAAATGAAAAACATTTTATTCTTAGCATATATTTGGTGAAGAGATGAATAGTAATAAATGATATAACTTGATGACTTACTTTGTTGCGTACGGGAAAACGAAAGTGTTGTTGTTGACGGGGTTTAAGGACTCCATCTTCCACCAACCCCAGGCTTGTAGTAAAAAAGTGCACCCATAAAATGTACATTTTTTCTTGACTGCATTTTTGCACAAGGAACTGTATAGGTGGGCTAAAACTGTAGAACCCCAACTATATTTTCTTGTTTTTTCAAAATTTCTTAGTAAATGTAAATACATAAAATTTACACTATTTCTCGTACTTTCGGGAAATAAAAAGGTACCAAATAGTATCATAAGATAAGTTATGGCTTTTACTACCCTGTCTTGCTCGGAGGAATTTTCGTTTATTTCCAAACTTGCATAATGACTTTTAAGCTCAGTGAGTAGTATTCCCTGACCTCTCGCACCACCACCTTCAACCATATCCCTGCCCAACAGTTCTTCACACTGAGAGTTGGGTTGTAGAACCGACTCGTTCATGGCCTTACTGTTGACAGGGATACCTAGTAGCATGTACACATCCTCCAGCGTGATGGTACATTCACCTATTGGTAGGTGAAATGTATGGGTCTCTGGTCTCCACCTTTCCAACATTGCAAGAATGAACTTCGAATCAATTGTGCAGTTGGAGATCTTTATGACATATCCAAAACCTGCGTATTCCATATATGGTACGATAAATGGATCGGGAGCCAGGTAGTTGTGAGAACGGATTCTGAATCTTTTGGTGTCCTGAGTTCATAATGTAAAAGGTGTAAGATTAAGTAAGATGAAGAAAGCATTATGTGAAGTATGAAAAATGTATAACCAAAATAGAAACTTACAAATGCGGCAATATTTTCCCTTGTGCCTCTGTGAGAATCTCCCATTGTTAGAAGAACCATTGTTTAAAATGCTTGAGATTATGAAAGACTTAGAAAGTGTAAGAGAGTATGAACACTACAACATTTGTTGTCTCTGGCAACACTTTTTTAGGTAACATGTAGAAATTGTTGCCTTAAATTCATATAGGCAACGATTTACGATTGTTGTCAAAAATATGTTTGCAACCCTTGATAATCGTCGCCTAAAATACTTTTGGGGACGTTTATGGAGCGATACTCTTTTATTTTTTTGCCAACGGTTTTTAATTGTGCCCTTAACTGCTTTTGGGGACGATTTTAGAGCATTAAAATATTATTTCTTTAGCAATGTTTGACAATTGTCCCCTAAAATATTTTTGGGGACATTTTTAGATTGTTACATTAGTTCTAATAAAAGGCTATATTTCTGAAATGTTGTATAAATTTTTTTAGAATTATCAAATTTTTGGTGGCAATCTTCCCTCCAAAACTTATACACTAAAAAACTAATATTTTTCTCTAAACATTATTAATATATATAAAAAAAAATATTTTCCTAACACAGGAATTTAAAAATAAAAAATTTCAATTAAACAGTAAATAAAAAATTATATATATATATATATATATATATATATATATATATATATATATATATATATATATATATATATTAGTCTAAAACTTATATATATTTCAAACTGGTACCCATTTATTAAATTAAAAAATAACCGGTACCCATTGTTCCAAACTGGACCAAAGTATGGGTCACTGTTACTATACTTCCAAACATACGCAGTAAAACACATCTTCTTCAAAAATCTCAAACATCAGACAAATTGTTTTTCAAATCCAACAAATTCGTCCTTCAAGAACGCCTCCACGAGCTTTCTTCTCAGAATCAGGTGAAATTCTACTTAGAATTTTTAGTTTTCACAAATTAAAAGCTTTTTAATTATGGGTTTATCTAATTAACTGCAAAATCGATGAAATTCAGGTTCAAGAGAAAGCTCTACCAACATCTTCCATCTTCCATTGATACTCAGGTAAACATATTATAAACTCCAAATTTGAGTTGTAGGATTCATTGATTATACGGATTTCTTGTATGCACGCATCTTGTTTGATAAAATGTCTATTTGGGTTTGTTTATATTGTCATATTAATATAGCTGGAGAACGACATGTATATTTTACAATTGATGATTTTGTGAGGAGGTCGCTGCTATAGACATGTTTGTTGTGAATTCAATGCCAATAACAAAGTATAGAAGAAGGGAGGAATAACGAACAAGGAAGAAGAAGAACACAAGAATTGGTTATCACTGCTATTCTTTACTTTCTCTTAGAAAACAAGATTACAAGTTTACAAGAATAACAAATAACCCTCTCACCCTAAATTAGGATTTGCTGTGATACAATGATGAGAGACTAGTATGCTATTTATAATAAAACCTAACATACTAACTAATGGGCTTTTTCCACAAGGCCCATTATACAAGCTAACTTAACAATCAAGCTAACTTAACAAATTAGGGTTTAAACACTAAAACCTAATTTAACAAGCATCCTTCGACAAGTACATGCTAGACCCTTCTTCGACTACAACATGTACTTCGATCATACTAGAGTTCGATCCAAAATCCCACAAATCTCCACCTTGGACCTAACTCTACAGCATCAAGAGACACTAACTAGCTTTCTTCATGCAGCTTTATCAACTGCATACAGTGGAAAAACTTGCAACTTGGCAATGTTTTGGTGATCATATCAGCGGCATTGTGATCTGTCGAGACCTTCAGCACTTGGACTTCTCCACGCTCGATTACCCCTCTGACGAAATGCAGCCTCACATCTATGTGCTTGGTTCGCTCATGATAGGCTGAGTTCTTCGACAGGTGTATTGCACTTTGACTATCACATTTAACAGTGATACCTTGACCTTGAAGTTTCAGCTCCTTCGCAAAACCTTCAAGCCACAATGCTTCTTTCACAGCTTCAGTTAGGGCAATATATTCTGCTTCAGTAGTTGATAAGGCAACAACCTTCTGAAGAGTTGCTTTCCAACTAATTGCTGTACCAAACATAGTGAAAACATATCCAGAAATAGATTTTCTGGAATCCATACAGCCTGCATAATCAGAGTCAACATAGCCTTCGACTGCTGCTTTACTATCTTCACCCAGGGCTCCACCATAAATTAAGACTCTGTTCAGAGACCCATTTATGTACCTTAGAATCCACTTTAACGCTTGCCAGTGAGCCTTTCCAGGATTCGCCATGTACCTGCTTACAAGACTTACTGCATATGCTATGTCGGGTCTAGTACAGACCATAGCATACATCAAAGAACCAACTATATTAGCATATGGGATGCTGTTCATATAGGTTCTTTCAACATCAGTACTAGGACATTGATCAATACTCAGCTTGAATTGAGGGTTTGTTGGAGTCACAACAGGCTTTGAGTTCGACATACCAAACTTGTCAAGAATCTTTCGTAGGTATGCCTCTTGAGATAAGCATAGTTTCGACTTCTTTCTATCTCTTCGAATGTCAATTCCAAGAATCCTAGATGCAGCTCCCAGATCCTTCATGTCAAACTCCTTATTGAGTTCAGCCTTCACCCTCATTACATCTTCGACATTGTTGCTTGCTATCAGAATATCATCAACATAAAGCAACAAAATTACAAACGAATTTTCAGGTCGAAATCTGGAGTAAACACAGTGGTCGAACTGACTTCTAATGAAACCTATGTGTTCCATGAACTTGTCGAATCTCTTATTCCATTGTCGAGGAGATTGTTTAAGTCCATATAAAGATCTCTTCAGTTTGCACACATAATCTTCTTTCCCCTTTTCGACATACCCTTCAGGTTGCCTCATCAGAATTGTTTCATCTAAGTCACCATACAAGAACGCAGTCTTCACATCCATTTGTTCCAGTTCAAGGTCGAACTGAGCCACCATGGCAAGCAACATTCGAATGGATCTGTGCTTCACAACAGGGGAAAATACATCATTGAAGTCGACACCTTCTTTCTGAGTGAAACCCCTTGCAACTAATCTTGCCTTGTACCTCTTCGACATTACTCCTTCAATTCCTTCCTTAACTTTGAAAATCCACTTACAGCTGACTAACCTTGCCCCAACAGGTTTCTTGATTAGTTCCCAAGTGTGATTATCATGGAGAGATTTCATCTCATCATGCATGGCCTTTAGCCATTCAGTCTTCATTCGACTCCTTATAACTTCCTTATAATCTGTAGGTTCTTCGTCTAGAACTTCACTTGCAGAGATTAAGGCATAAGCTACAAGATCTGCATATCCAAGTCTCTGAGGTGGTTTTATGACTCTTCTTTGCCTATCTCTCGACAATAGGTAGTCATCAACAGTTTCCTCAACATCATCAGAATCTTCTGTTTCTTCTTCGACTTCATCTGGGATACGCATTTCAGCATCAACATGCTCCACCTCAACAGGAATCTCTACCTGTTCCAGCTCTTCGTCAACATCATCAGTTTTCTTTAAAGCCATTTCAGTTTCATTGAAAACTACATCTCGACTGGTGATACACCTCCTGTGACCTGGCTCTAGGCACCATAGCCTATAGGCTTTCACTCCTTCAGGGTATCCCATAAACATGCATTTCAGAGCTCTAGGTTCGACCTTGTCTTGCCTAATGTGAGCATAGGCTACACAGCCAAATATTCTTAGTTTGTCGAGATCTGGTGGATGTCCCGACCAAACTTCTTCAGGTGTCTTCATATCTAACACTGTCGAAGGACATCTGTTTATCAGATATGCTGCTGTCGAAACAGCCTCAGCCCAAAACACCTTCTTTAATCCCGCACTACTCAACATGCATCTAACTCTCTCCAAAATAGTTCGATTAAACCTTTCAGCCAAACCATTTTGTTGTGGAGTACCTGCGGTAGTTCTGTGCCTTGCAATACCAGAGGCAACACAAAAACTGTCGAACGCCTCATTGCAAAACTCAAGGCCATTGTCGGTTCTCAACCTCTTTACCTTTCTGCCAGTTTGATTTTCAACAAGAGTCTTCCAACTTTTGAAATTCTCAAAAGTTTCATCCTTAGTCTTCTGGATGAATACCCATAACTTTCTGGAATAGTCATCTACTATGGATAGAAAATACTTTGCTCCTGAATGTGATGGACACCTTGCAGGCCCCCAAAGATCAGCATGGATGTAATCAAGGGATCCATGTGTTCTTTGTTTGCCTTTGTTAAACTTCATTCTACAGGACTTTCCAAGTACACAGGGTTCACAAAACTTCAGCTTTTCGACTTTATCTCCACCAAGCAGATTTTGTTTCCCTAATTCAACCAGACCCCTTTCACTGACATGGCCCAATCTCATGTGCCAAATTTCTGTTTTCGACAAAGGTTTCGTGGATGCAACATTTGTCGAACCACTTACAACTTCAGCCTCAAGGGTATACAAGCCTTGTTTCTTCACGCCTCTCAAGACTTCCTTCGACCCTTTCATGACTCTCAGGATACTTTTCTCTCCTTGAAAAACATATCCTTTCTTGTCGAATTCACCAAGAGAAATCAAATTTCTCTTCAAATCAGGTACATACCTGACTTCAGTCAACAATCTTATTGACTCATCATGGAGCTTGAATCTCACAGATCCAACGCCTGCAATCTTGCAAGCTTTGTTGTTTCCCAGCAATACAGATCCACCATCTTGATCACATAATTCCTCGAACAAGTCTTTGTTTGGAGTCATGTGCCAAGTGCATCCAGAATCCATAATCCACTCCTTCGACGAGTTGTTGCTTGAAAACACAAGAACATCAGATGATTCGAAATCATCTTGGACAATAGCTGCGTTGCCATTATCCTTACTTCCATGATCTTTCAGGCGTTCAGGGCACACCTTTCTTGTGTGACCTACTTTCTTACAGTGATAGCATCTAATACCAGATGCATCACCACTATAAGACTTCGACTGATTTTTCTTTTCTTTCCTCTTGTCGAATTTTCCTTTAACAGCCAAACCTTCACCAACCGTCGAAGGTTTATGCTCCTTACGTTCATTCAAGTCCTTAGAGTACAAGGCTGATTGAACTTCTTCAAAGGTCAGGGACTCTCTTCCATACAAGAGGGTTTCTTTGAAGTGAGCATGTGATCTGGGCAAAGCGCACAATAATAACAACGCTTGATCTTCATCATCAATCTTTACATCAATATTTTCAAGATCAAGAATCAGCTTGTTGAACATATCCAACTGCTCAGCCAACACTTTTTCTTCAATCATCTTGAATGAGTATAAAGCTTGCTTCAGGTAGAGTCGATTTACCAGAGATTTGGTCATATACAAACTTTCAAGTTTCACCCATAACCCTGATGCCGTCGTCTCCTTTGATACCTGTCGAAGAACCTTGTCACCAAGGCTCAACAGAATTGCGCTGTGTGCTTTCTCGATCATGGCCGTCTTCTCTCTTTCTGTTAGCGCAGCGTCCATCGTCGTCGCTCCCTTCAACGCTTCCAAACAACCCTGCTGAACCAGTAGGGCTTTCATCTTCAAGCGCCATAGACCGAAATCATTCACTCCGGTGAACTTTTCAATCTCATACTTTGTTGAAGGCATCTTCTCCACGCTCACCGCACCAATTTGTTGTGAATTCAATGCCAATAACAAAGTATAGAAGAAGGGAGGAATAACGAACAAGGAAGAAGAAGAACACAAGAATTGGTTATCACTTCTATTCTTTACTTTCTCTTAGAAAACAAGATTACAAGTTTACAAGAATAACAAATAACCCTCTCACCCTAAATTAGGATTTGCTGTGATACAATGATGAGAGACTAGTATGCTATTTATAATAAAACCTAACATACTAACTAATGGGTTTTTTCCACAAGGCCCATTATACAAGCTAACTTAACAATCAAGCTAACTTAACAAATTAGGGTTTAAACACTAAAACCTAATTTAACAAGCATCCTTCGACAAGTACATGCTAGACCCTTCTTCGACTACAGCATGTACTTCGATCATACTAGAGT